TCCAAAAAAAGCCTCAAGGGTCGCTGTACCCCACGGCAAGTGTTCAGCTACACCACGGGGTGTGCACGCCACGCTCCATGCAGCTGCCATGGGCTGCTGACACCCTTTGGTACCTCCAACATCTCAGGTTCATGTGTTTGTTTTGGCCTTGGCTAAACCACCACCGAGGTATTTCCAGGGAGACATGTTGCCGCAGCAACCGGGGATGGAATTGTCACTTCTGGGGGGTGAGTACCACCAAAAACATCAGTCTGGGCTGGGGCGTCACAGCGCGGGACGGGCACGGAGCAGAGCCAGCCCTGCTGGGAAGGAGCGAAGAGAGGTCAAGGACAAGTTAAAATTGGAAAGAAAACTGAACATGCCGTTTCGTAGGACCTTGCTCGCTCCCATCGGCCAATTTTTTTTCCACCACACCCCCTTTCCTATGGCTAGCAGCATGGTGTGAGCATCTCCTCCGGCTGGTGGGGACAAGGGGTTCTGTTGTGGCCAAAATTTCTGGGAAGAGCCACCAACTTGCAGGGCTTTTCTTGGTGACCTCGGCTTCCACAGGTCACCTTTTCACCCACCATCATATTTTAAATCTACTTGCCACTGTGTTATTCCTCCCCATCCCCAAATTTGCAGCGTGCTGCACATTTTTTGTGCTGAAATTCAGAGCTCCATGCTGGAAGCTGCCAAGTATGAGTCTGGATTGTGTAATGAGCTTCATCTCTTTTTTTTTTTTGACCAAGAAGTTTTTGGAAAAGCAATGTCTGAGAGCCTGGAAAGACCTAGTCGCTTTTATCCCTACCATGGCTTTGCTTTCCTGGGTGTAGGGCGGGCTTGAGACCCCTGCAGAGATTTTCATACCACCCCTTCTTTATGCCCCAGCAGCTCCTCCATCCTCCGGGTCTGTGTCCCAGCTTGAAGCAAGGATGCATTCACATTTTCAAATATCTCCCTTCAAAAGATCATTTTTTGCATTTTTCTCTTGACAGCCCCAAGCAGAGGTTAAGTTTGTTTAGCGGGTAGGGGGAAGGAGTTGCTTTTGCAGCCTTGGACTGAGTCCTGTGCTAAGCCTGCGGCAGCACTGCCGGGGCTGCCCTCGGTGGGTCACCAGCCCTTGATGCCCTCAGCATCTGATGCAGCTGGAGCTGAAGGAGATGCTGGGTGGGGCCAAGACCAGTGCTGGTGACTGGGCAATGCCAGGCAACCCAGGAGAGCATTTGGGCGACCTAGTCCTGGGGCTTTGCAACCCTGGCCACTAGCCCAAGTGCTTTAGACCCTCATATACTGTTGCTACTTCCATTTTCACCTCCCGTGGGCAGTGGAGCTAGATGGGCTTGTTTTCCTTCTCTCTACCTGGTTTTGTTCTCTGTGTCCCCATGTTGTCCTGTTCCCACCTCACTTGGTCCCACATTTGCATGCTGCTGGGGTCAAGCCCTGCTCAGCAATTTCTGTGCCCAGGACAAACCTGGTCTTAGTGCCCAGGACCTGCTGCAGCTGAGCTCAAGCTGTCGCTGCTCCTCCAGCAGCATCCACAGTCTTTGCACTGTGTCACCCCAGGCAGAGCCCCCCCGGGGCCTCCCGCCTGCTCTGCTCGAAATCAGCTGAGAGATGCAAAAGCTGCTCGGAGGAAATGACTGTGAGAGTATCACCAGCATCGTACAAGCTCTGTGGCTGCAGGAACCCAAGATAAAAACATCCCCAAGGTCGCAGCTGCTGTGCAGGTGTCTGTGCAACAGGTTGTGGGCACCCCTCGAGGCTGCACCTTACACAGTGTGCTTGTAAAACCCTCTTTCCACTAATTCTTTTTTTATTTTTACTTTTCATTTAGGTGTTGCAGTAATATATTTAGTATCACAGCAGCCCTGACCTCACACTGGGAGAGCCCAGCGCCTGAGCTGCAGCAGAAGGAGTCGTAGCTGTGTCAACTCAGCATTTCCCGGCAGGTGACCGCCCTGTCTGAGCAGGTAATTGAACAATTGAGCAGCCCAGGCAGAGCCCTTCCCCACGATAACCACCTGGCAGAGGTGGGGAGGTGGGTGAGCAGCTCACCTGGGTTATCACCAGGAGAAGTATCATGGCAACCGGTGTGCAGGATGCAGCCCCAGCAGGGCACACCGGCCAGCTGGCACCACTGGCACACCCATGGCACTGTTGTGGGGCCAGGTAGCTTAGCAATGCCAACCCAAACCTCTTCAATTCCCTGTTATAAAGTAATTTAAAGAGTGGCAAACCCAGGGATGGCGTGGGTGCAGGAGAGGTGTGAGCAATGGTGGCGTGAGAGCCCACGAGGGTTTAGGCTATGAATTTTTTTTTTTTTTTCTTCAAATATTTGGGTCCCACAGCCAAGAGGGTGCCTGTACTGGGTGCTGATAGAAGACCCAGGCCCCATGGACACTCCCATGCTGGGATCCCTTGCTCCCTGCATCACCCAGGCCACATCCACGAGGTCCGGTCCCACTCGCCAGCTACAACATGGCTCCAAGAGATACTAAAATGGGAGACACATATTATCTCCCCATGGAAAGTATTTTAGCTAAATCCATGCTATAACCATTTTATTGACTCCAAGAACCAGAGAGAAGGTTAGAAGTGACTCTTTTACAAGTCATTTTTGCTGTTAAATTTAGCTGTCCTATTTTCATTATCCCCATGGCTTTGGCAAGGGTGAGCAGCCTTCCCTAAAAGGCCTCGTTTCATACAGTAAGTTATTTGCTTCTCTCCTGACAGATATCTAAGCTTATAAGGTTTGTCTGCTCCGCTCAATAGCAGTATCAGCCTTCAATCTTGTATCATTAGCATCAGCATTTCATATTTGCTTTTGGCTCCCCATCTGACAGCTTTCCATGTTGCTGAGGAGCAGGCAGTTGGGAAGGTGTCGTGTCACTTGTAACGTAGGATCATCTGATTTTGCTTCCCAAGTTTCATGGTCCACCCAAAAGATTTGGATAAATGGTTCATCTGCTTTTTTCCCCCTGTTTTCCCTATTGCCAAGCAAAGATAATGGATTCGTTCCATTCATTTTGCGGTTGTCAGGTTTGCAAAATATTGAGTTGATGATAGGTCTACGTGATACCAAGCGATGGGCAATTGAACATGAAAGGTGGTGATGTTAAGAAGAGATGTTCTGGAAAGGAAAGATTTATCCCAGGAGGTTAAACTTTTCCATATTTCCAAAAACATTTCCCCCTGCAGACAGGGACCAGGCTCGGTGGCTGCAGAGAGCCAGCACCTCCTTCCAGGTCATGGGAGGCCAGGGATGAACTGGGGCTCATGGGATGAAGCATGTCCTTGTGGTGAGTGATAAAGCTGCTGGGCTCTGGGCTTTTTGGAGGAAACATCCTCTGTTTCTCCCAGAAACACCCTTCCCAGCCCCAGTGCTCCCCAGCAAAGAGCTCATTCCCGTGGGGCTGTGCCCTCAAGGCTGCCTGGTGGGATGCAGTGCAAGGACAGGGTCCTTCATGCTCAGCCTCTGCACTTTCCCCACCAAACCATCCCATGAAAGCTTCCCACCGCAGTGATGTTGGCCCCCAAAATTCAGTCTGGCACGTACAAATCCAGCTCCTTTCTCAGTGATGTTCACTTAGAGCAGTGCCTGTGCCACCCTGCTGAGCATCCCTCACCGTGACCCAGGCCCACCCGCCCGGCCCTGCTCACGGCCGTGCCTTTCAGGAAATGCTGGAAATGCTGAAAATGCTTCGAAATGTGCCCAGCCCAGCCCCATGCAAGCACTGGGAACCAGCCAAGCCCCAGCTGGGCAGCCACACCACAGGAGGGGGCCAAGCTGGGCACCCAGCTGCCCTGTGGGTTGGCTCCAAATTGCTGGAATGGGGTTTCTGTGTCCTCCTGACCCTTTTCCTGGGGCAGCTTTTGGGGGACAGAGCAGGACATGGGTTAGGGACAAGGACAGGAGACCCACAGCCTGAAGTAGCTGCTGGGGCAGGAAAGATGATAGCCCAACTCCAATTCCTAAAATCCTCTTCCAGAACCCCCACCATCTCCTCCACCTCAACATTGCCCCCAGGGATGCCTTGGGGTCCTTGCTCGCCCCCAGCCTTTCCCACAGCCCCTCTGTCCCCAGGGTGGGACCCTGCCTGGGTGAGGTTGCATCCCCCACACATGGCTGGCACCGTTCTGGTGGCACGTGGGCTTGGCAGAGGGATGGCCCTGCACCCTCCTGCACCCTGTCCCACCCCCGGACCATGTAGGGCACCAGCTGCTCCCAGCCCAGAGCTTATAGGAAGAGGAAACTCTGTCCCCGTGCAGAGGAGGAAACCCGACAGCCCAGATGTGCACAGAGCAACGCCGATAGCGGTTTGGGGGTTTTTTTTCTCTTTTTTTTCCTTTTCTTTTTTTCCCCCCCTCTCTGCAAACAGAGGAGTTGCTCGAGCAGCAGCGGGCACAGCCCAACCCACAGCGTGGAAGCAGTGGGACTGGTGGGCACAGCTCTGGCACAGCCATGGGGCAGAAGTGCATGGAGAAGTTGTCCTCCTTTCTCTTCGAGTATGATACCCCCAGGATGGTGCTGGTGAGGAACAAGAAGGTGGGACTGACCTTCCGGCTGATCCAGCTCATTGTCCTGGCGTACATCATCGGGTAAGGCTCCCCAGCACCCGCTTTCCCCCCAAATTTATTCTTTGCCACCGGGTTAAAAAGTAACTGAGATGAAGAGGCTTATATATCCCATAGATCCTGCTGGAAGGGGGGTTTATTGCTGATGGCATTGCATCCCCACAGTGTGGCCACTCTTGGGCAACCCACTGTCCCACTGTGGATCTTCCAGACAGTCGCCCAGTCCCAGAAGTGGCTGCGTGTGCAGGCTGGAGGCTCATCCCTGCCCAGCCCTGCTCTGCACGCTGCGGCCCCGGCTCCTCGCTGAGCTGCATCCAAATCCTTCTTGAGCTGCTGGACGGTGGCCTGAGAATCTGTTGTTATTTTTATTTTCATTTATATTAAATAAGAGGCAGCTGGGGCCAGTGCAGTGATTTGTGAGACTCAAGCGACTCAAGACAGAATCATAAATCTCCCCGTCCACCGCCCTGGTGAGGAGGCAGGGCCATTCCCGTGGCTGGGGCTGGGATGGAGCCTTGCTCCAAATCCCTAGTTTGCTTTGCTCGTGGGAGGCAGCCCTGAGAGCAGCCCCGGTGCAAGAGCCACTGCTTAAAAAAGGCAGTGAGTGGAGCAGGCGGGCCCAGAGCCATGTGAGGATCCATGTCCTCGGGTGCTCTCGTGCTCGTGCCACAGCATTTCGGGCTGTGCTATGGGATATGATGGTTGATAATGGCAAAAATCTTTGTCACGTCCCCATGGCTGCTCTGGAATCAGCCTGAGAGAGAAAGACTGGCACCATTCCATTGGGAAGGGTCCCATGGCAAGAGGTTTGCATGGTGTCTGGCCATGAACTGGAAAAAATGGGTATTTCAGGGGCACAGGGCACTTAGTGCAGCCCAAAGGAGAAGCAGGAGCTCCCAGGGCTCAGTGCAAGTGAGCAGCTGTGGGGAGCAGTAGTGTCCATCCCAGATTTTAGCCCAGATCCCATGGAAAGAGGGAAAATCTTCCCAGGGAGTCATTGTGGGACCCCTGCATCACTCCCACTCTGCTCCTCAGCAATCTGCCTCACAAGGGTAATTCTCATCCCAAACTGCTGCCGAGCCAAGGTCTCAAGGATGTTCCATTGTAAAGGGTTTTGTACTGGCCCAGACTGGTGTTACTGGGAGCAGCATTTGCCTTCCTAAGGGCTGAGCCCACAAAAACCCCCAGGCTCCAGCAAACCCAGCCGGGGGCAGCCGCTCGTGCAGATGGGGAACCGGCAGAGACGGTTGCTCAGAGCGAGAGCTCCTAAGGAAACACTGCTTAAGCAACCCAGCTAAAACAGGACAGGCAGCCAGGAGGGAGCAAAAAGAGAACCAGCTCGGGGGTGAGGGGTGGAGGTTGGCATGAGTTTGCTGTAATTCCTCCAGTTTTGCCATCTCAGTGGGGTCAGGCTCTGTTAGCAAGGGGCTGCCTGTGAGCGTGGCTGCCCGTAGCCCCATGGCTATTGGCATCTCCTCGCTGCCTCCGGGTCCCTGCCTGCGCTGAGCCACGATGCTGGAGATTTTCTCTTCTTTGAAAGCAAGGTTGGCAGGCAAATATCTCTTGATTTATTTATTCATAGCTTAACGTGTTCAGTCCCCCCAGGCAGCAGGCGTGGGATGCTTGTGGGGCTGCGTGCCCACACGAGGCTGTGCTGGCAGGATGGATGGCACTGCCATCAGCGCTGGCACATGGGGCTGTCCTCACCCAGAGACCCGGTGTTACCTTCAGGGAGCAGCTCTGTCCTCTGTCCGTTCTTCTTTCTGCCAACATGATTAGACAAGGTGGTATCACTGCTGGCCAGGCGATGCCGGGTGCTCCTCAACTGGACATGACTTTCTGGCTTTTTTTCCTCAAAAACCTCACGTTCCTGGAAGCTGTGGGCTGAGCTGCAGGATGGGGCTGGTGAGGGAAGAGGGCTTGGTGACTCTGCCACATCGGGGAGTGACACCAGGGGATTTTTACCACCTGGGCAGGGCTCGACGTGGCATTTACAGCACGATGGGGAAATGACGCCTTGTTTGCCGCGACCATAGTTCAGTGGCAGGGGGACGGCGCTGCCATGGGGAGGCTGTGTCACAGCAGGGTGCCCAGCCCTGTGTGCCCACCCCTGTATGCCCACAGTGACCTCTGCCAGGGAGGGATGAAGTGACAGTGGCAGAGGCTGTGCTGGAGGCAGATTAAGGGAAACACTCCACCATGGTGCTGCCCAGCTCACAGCGTCCTGCAGCCCCAAAGGCACTGGGGAAGATGCCCAGTGTAACCAGTGTGACCCAGTATGGCCCTCTGCCTTGGAGGAGGAGGTTGGAGCTGGGGGTCCCATTTGGGGTGGCAGCAGTGCTGAATTTCTGCTCCCATCCCCAGGTACTGGGGCAGATGCCATCTCTGAGGTCCCTTAGCCCCCTGTCCTGGGATGCTGATGGGGCTGAAGCCAAAAAACACCATCTCCAAGAGGTCCCTGTAAGGTCCAGGACCCACAGAGCAGAACTCCAGGCAGCGCCTGGGGTTCCCCCATTTTCCCCCATGCCCATCAGCTGGGTGCCCAAGGATGGGCTGACACACCAGGCTGGCATCACAGGTTGTCCCACGGTCACCACGCTGCCTCGGTTGTGGCCAGTGGGACCGGTGCCCGCGGCAGGGGGACAAAAACCAGATCACTCCTTTTTTAGCACCGGGAACACTCTGCGCTGCTGGAAGCACTACCCGAAATGGTTGCTCACCCATGTTTATAGTCTCCTGAGTCAGAGTTAATCCAGCAGCAGCTTGTTTATGCCATAGGTTAAATAGTGTCAGGAGCCAACCCTAATGGCTGTGCAATGGGCTGGGAAATGCAGGGAGAGCTCCATGCTGGCCACAGCAGTGTCCCCAACCCTGTTCCTGCAGCCCTCTTGCACCCAGGGCCTCGGCTCCATGGTTTCCTTTGCTGGATGGGGAATGGTGGCCCCAGACTTGTGTCCAGAATTACCCCTGTCTTAGCCCAGGAGGCACTGATTTTTGGAGAGTGCCTCTGAAGTGGATCAGGAGGGTTCCGGTGGGTAACCAAGCCCATCAAGCTGCAAACCCACTGTAGGCTTTAATCCCAAATGGCCACCCTGCTCCACCTGCCTTCACACATCCACAACCACAAAATGTGTCCCAGTCCCCAGAATAAATTATCCCACCGTGGAAGTCAGGTCCCACAGCTACTGCATGCCTGAGGCAAAGGGTGGGAGAGTTCAGCAACACATCCTTCATCCAGCTGGATGACATTTGGTAAATAAACCCCCAGGTGAGACTTGGTAGAAGAAGCCCCAGTCCACAGCAACGTGCTGGGACCTGGGGCTCCTGTGGATGAGCACAGGTGGTCATGTTCATCCCATCACCTTTCCCTATGCAGGTGGGTTTTCCTCTATGAGAAGGGCTACCAGTCTCAGGACAGCATCGTCAGCTCAGTCTCGGTGAAGCTGAAAGGCCTGACGTTGACCAACGAGAGTGTCCTGGGCCCTCACATCTGGGACGTGGTGGATTATGTTTTCCCACCCCAGGTAAGGAGGCAGGGTGTGTGGGTTAGGGAGGTTGCTCTTGTCTTGATGGCTGCATTTCCCCATGTGCTGGGGTGCAGATGGACTCCTCAGCGTAGGCTTTCCATGGAGCTAACCATGCCATGGTGTCCCTGTGGTGGAAAGCAGGTGTCTCCTGCCACAAACCTCTGCTCACATATCACCCTTGGGGAGCATTCAGTGCTTGGGACCCACTGTGGTTGATGGGGCACGTTTGAGGCTGCCTTCAAAAAGATCAAGGCTCTTCTGGTGCCTCCAGACAAGCATCTCGGGCAGCAAGGGAGAGCCTCCACTTTCCCTGGGGCTGGTGGCACTACAACTCCCCAGGGTCACCACTAGCATCCTGAGCTGCAGTGGAGGAGCATGGAGGACCCAAAGTTAGGGAGAAAGGAGTCTGGACATGCCTCAGTGGTTTGGGTGCCCTACCCCTTGCCTCAGGGAGAGGCTCCTCACAGAGACTCCATCAGAAAATGCCGTGCTGGCTGTGAGCTTGTTGGCTGTGTCTCCACAGGGGGACAGCTCGTTTGTGGTGATGACCAACTTCATTGTCACTCCTGGACAGAAACAAGGAACCTGCCCGGAGGTAAATGCACTGGCTTCCTTCAGCGGCCTCAGCTTCTGTAATTTAAGGGGGTTGTGGTGGTGGCATTGGGGAAGGAGTTTTCCTGACACTGAGAGATTTAGTAAAACCCTGAGCCTGGCCCCATATTGTTGTTCCTGAGTTGTGAGTGCTGCATGAAGGTTTTTATTCTGCTGAAAACCAACCAGCATCCATTTCAGTGTTCTTCTCTTGGAGATGATCAAGCAGAGCAGACTCAAGGCTTAAATAAAAGCATCTGCTTGGAGTTTAAAAAAGAAAATTCCCCTTCTTCCTGCTTTATCTGGATATCCTTGGTTGGGAAGTGGTGTATGGATGAGGATCTGGCTGTAGCCGAGTGACGTTTCCCCCAAGGAACACCCTGCTTGGTGAGGCAGGAGGGACAGAGGGACCAAAACCTCAGGGTGTGATGCTGAGAGGTGGCTGCTTGCTTTCTCCAAACAGCTGCCAGACGCCGGGCTCTGCACACAGGACAGTGATTGCAGCAAAGGGAAATACAGCCGACAGGGACAAGGTATGGCCCATGGCCCCAAGGCTCCGGCACCGGTGTTCTGGTGAGACCCACCGAGCACAGCATGCTCCAGTGAAGCCACAGGGCTGGGGTGTCTGACAGGGGGACCTGCTTTGGACCACCAGCTGACAGGGGTTGGGAAAAGTCTCTGACGTGCTGGGTGAGGGTCCCACCTGGGCTGAAAGGCTGGTCCTGCTTTCCTCTTCTGAAAGATTTCTGAGCTGCAAAAAGTTCTGCCAACTACAGGTTAATCAAGACTAAACCATTTCCCCCCAAGCTGCTGTCCTCCTAACAGCTCGGCATTTTCTGGGGTGTATTTTAGCAAGAAAACCACCCAGTTGCTCCCCTGTACTGATAAACCACTGCCCCGAGCTGAGAGGACACAATTAATGACCCTTTTTATAAAAAGGCACCAAAGTCCTGAGTATTTTGTGCCTTGGATGTCTGTGGCAGGGCTGAAGCTCCAACCAGATCCCATTTATCCCAGTGTGAGGCTGGGATTTCCCAGTATCCAGGGGTGCGAGCAGCTGTCTTCTCTTCCCCACAGGGCTCATGACAGGCAAATGTGTGCATTTCAACACCTCTGTGAAGACCTGTGAGATCTTTGGCTGGTGCCCCGTTGAAGTTGATTACCATGTTCCCAGGTAAGGAATGATGCTGTTGTCCCTTTTTCCACCCCAGTCCCACCTCAGCTGCACGAGCAGCCCTCGATGTAGGGCAGAGCAAGCCAGGGCTCTGCAGGTTGCTGCCAGGACAGCCTGGGTTGATGCAGACCCCACGGCTGTACATTCTGCCTGGTGTCCCCAGGGGGTTTGTGCCTCTCCTGGTGTGATTTGCTCCCCTCCTTGCTGGCAGCTCACCCCATCTTTGCTGGGTGCTCTCTGCATGAACCAGCAGCCCCCATCTATCCTGTTTGCCTTCAGAGTAAAGTTGTGGTTTGCCCATGAGATGTTCTCCACCTCCAGCCTTGGTGGAGCCCAAGGAAGCATGCAGGCCCATGAGCTCTTTTACAGCCACCTCACTGTGCTTTTGGGGTTTCTTAACTGAAAACCCAGCTCCTAACTCCCTCTCTGACCCCTAACAGGCACCTCCATTCTTCACTGGGGCTTTCTGAACCTTGTTGGGATCTTTCACTTAGAAAGGGAAGGGATGAGATCACCAGTTTTTCTGGATCCTGCTTATCCCAGTTTGGATGAATCTTCACCAAATGTTTGGAGACCTGAGTGATGGACACGTGTCAACACTTGTGTTTTTCAGTCCTGCCCTGTTGGCAGAAGCAGAGAAGTTCACCTTGTTCATCAAGAACAGCATCACCTTCCCCAGGTTCAAGGTGTCCAGGTAAGGGGAGGTTTGGGGGATGACTTCTGCTCGGTTCTCCCAGCTGTGTCCCTCAGGGGAAACCATGGGTGTAGCTGAATGCTTGATGTAGAGGATGCTGTCCCTCATTAGCAAGCCCAGGACTACTCTAGCTGCCACACTGATCACCAGATCAGCTGATAGGAAGTGAGACATTTCCCTCCCAGATCTGTCCCACCTCAGCTGGTAGCTGTGATTACAGGAAAGGTTTGGGGAATTAATCTCCCCTGAGTTACCCTCACGTGATGCACTTGAAAATACAGTTTCTCTGATTCTTCGTTTTTCTTCTCCTTTTTCCTCTCTGAAAAGAAAAGTAAAATACTACATGACACACAGTGGGATGTGAGCAGCCAGGACAAGCTTGGTGCCCAAAAATGAGCAGAGGCCCCTTTTAACATCACTTTCCCCACCTGTTTCTGCAAGGGGTTACAGGGTTGGACCCTTCCAGGCAGTGCTGGAAGCAGTGCTGCCAGCTGAAGGCGCACACCGAAGAGGACTTGTGATGACACTGATTATATATCTGATTTGGAACAAATTAACAGGAGCTATTTGTGCTGAAGATGGCGGATTCTTCTCTCTAAGCTGATCGTGTCCCTGCTCTGTAGCCAAGGTTGAACGCCCTGGCAGTCAGCACACTTGGCAAAGTCTTGAGGCAACCTCATGCTGCACCCCAAGAGGTGGTTGGGACAGGAGATCCTCCACCAGCAGCCAAGGAGAGGTGGCAATGTAAGCGAGGGCAGGCAGGAGAGGGGACGTGGTGGGGGAGAGCAGGTCCTGGGAGGTGAGGACAGCCAGGCTGGCTGCTGTCACAGGGGCTGAGCCGGAGCCAGCTGGGGTCATGTGGAAACTTCCTGCCTTTGATCACTGCTGCTAATTAACTGCTGAGCATAAATGATGGGATGGGGTTGAGCAAAGCACAAGTCTTGCAAAACTATTTGGGTCAGGGAGGTTTCACAGAAAGCCTATTTGTAGGTGAAAGACCAGAGTGGGATGGAAGGCAAGACATTGTCCTTTCCTTTTCACTCTTTCTGGAGGACATAGCAAAATCCAACTAAATGTAAAAGCTGTGGGATACCCTACCCAGGAGCTGTCCCAGATGTAAAGTGTTGGTGCACAGAGCATTGCCTGGCCCATGGATGAGCTGACATGTGAACGGGAGAGGCAGCTGGGAGGGATGGTGGAGGCCACAGGAGGGTTTGCAAAGCTGAGGAATGAGAGAGGGGCTTGCTAGAAGATGTGAGGACAGGCAGATGTGTGCTGGCTTTGGGCAGCAGGCAAGGCAGTAAACGCAAAGCAGAGGTGGAGAATATTTACAGGAAAGAAAACAACAGAGAGGCTCCCTCTGTAGGAGGAGGTTCAGGGAAAATGAGTTGCTGATGGGCTGGGAGAAACCAGGCAGGGCTGGAGGAAAGGGCCCGCTCTCCATGTGTGGGGTCTGAAGAGCACATGGAGGGAGGAGGATGAGGCTCTGAGCTTTGACATTACCCAGCTTGAGCAATAGGTTGGACCAGGGGTCTCCAGAGGTCATTTCCCACCCAAGTTACTGGGTTATTCAGACTCTTTTTTTTCATTGACAGGCGTAACTTGGTTGAGAGCGTTACCAAACAGTACCTGAAGAAATGCTCCTATCACAAAGTGACTGATTCCTTATGCCCCGTGTTTGACCTGGGATACATAGTGAAGGAATCGGGTCAGAATTTTACCTTCCTGGCTGTTAAGGTACTTAAATGTTAAATGATATTTCTTGCTGACATGGGGAGGGGGACACTGACAGCGCCATCACCCCCAAGCCATTGAGATGTAAGGGATCTGTTTTCTCAAGGGCTCATGAGGAAGTGTCAGAATTAGCTCTTAAAGATTATGAATCTCCTTGGACATGGCCTAATATTTAAGCCTTTCTTGGAAATTCCCCTGTAAGATTGACAAGATTTGACCTGCTGGCAGGAAATCCAGGATTCAGTTTGTTTTCCTTTGTGCAATGAATAACTAGAGCTGTGTGGCCAAATCCCATCTCATTGAGCTTGGAAACCTCGGCTGGATGGTCAATATTGGTCATTGTACAATGCAAACTGCAGCCTCTCCCCAGAAATGCAGCTTTGCCCAACACTTCTCAGGGTGGGATGCAAGAGCATCTGCTATTTCTGCACTGCAGAGCCTTAAGCTAATTTTGCCAGGTATTAAATAAAATCAGAGGCTTGCATATATTAAAGGTGTAAAAAGATGAGCCTCTGGGGCACAGCTAGTGACAACCTGGAGCGAGGTCAGGAGGGACTGCTTTGTATCCTAGCAGGTGGCCACTTCTCTTAGAGGAGGTTTTCTTCTGATTTGCATGGATTCATTTCACTCTCCTCTATGACCGTGTTAAATTGCCTTTGATTTTCCCTGTGACGTTAATGGTTTGATGGCAGGGTTAAGCCCCAGGAATGGCAAATCTTGTGGGCTAAATCAGGCAAGGGAAGGCTGTCCCACAAGGATCTGCAGTGAGCAGTGCTTCTCTGGACCATGCCTTGGGCACAGGGTGCTGATCAGGAACAAGAGGGCATGAATTTAGTTGTGTGTCCAGAATTTAGGGCAGAAGCAAGTGCCTCTGCATAGGGTGATGTGTAGGGCACAAAGCCAAGGCTGCCCAGGAGGGCTGAGGCAGCGGTGGGGTCCATGTACCCTGGAGAGCTGGGACACCTCATAGCATCAAGTAAGGCCACATAGGAGGAGGGAAAGCATTTCTCCATGTGGGCCAGGTCCAAGGAGGGACAACCTCGTGACTCCCCTCTCGGCTGCAGGGTGGAGTGGTGGGCATCACCATAGACTGGAACTGTGACCTTGACTGGCCCGTCCGGTACTGCAAACCCATTTATCAGTTCCATGGTCTTTACAACGATGACAGTAACGTTTCACCGGGCTTCAACTTCAGGTAAGGAGACCTCTGTTAACTTTCCAGGCAGAATTCAGAGGTGACATCTTTCAGGATCCCACAGCACCCAAGGGATGGTGGAAGATCAGGGCCTGTTCTCCAAAATACTCACTACCTTTGCAGTGCCAGACAGCGGTGCTCTCTTTAGAATGGCATCAGAAAAGCGATAACCTGTCCCTTGGCCTCAAAATTACCCCGTTGCCTTTCCTTGTACATCCCCTTGCTGATTCTCCTGCTCAGCTGAGCTCTCAGGAAGCCTCCTGAAAGGCTGGAGGTGGTGCAGGGTCATCTCACATGTTCCCACACTTCAAAGCATTCAGCCTCAGCATGATGTTTAGGCATGAGCTGCTGTTCTGTGTGAAGCTGCCGTTAGTGCTGCACTAAAATCCGCTGTCACGTAGCACTTGGGGTCATCAGCTATCAGCACAAGCAGGAGTTTTAACTCCAACTTGCAGACAGGGAAACTGAGGCACGGATGGGAGAGAGTCCAACAGCCCAGCTCCTTTGGGGTGGGGGTTAAGAAGAGGGTCAGGAGCAAGTCTGTGACAGCACATCCCCAGATCTTTGTCCTGCTCTGCAGCCCACCAAGATCCTGATGCTGTTGGGTTGCAGGGGGCTGTTAGACACCCTGGCAGGCCATTAACGCTCACCATCCCATCGGACAGATATGCCAAGTACTACAAAGAAGATGGGATGGAAAAGAGGACGCTTTACAAGGTGTTTGGGATCCGGTTTGACATTTTGGTGAATGGCAAGGTAAGGGTGGCCGGGAGCTGGATTTGCCCCTGGATCCCTGGCACAGCAGTGCCATGTCCTCAGGAAGGTACCAGCTCTGTAACTCAGCACCAGGGTCTTGTGGGGCCAGGAAAAGCAGTGCAAGTGGGTTCCTCAGGTGCTGGTCCTCTCACAGCAGCCTTTGGGAAGTGCCAGGGAAGGGAACATAAGAGGGGAAGCCCATTTTACAGGTCACATCTACCAACTGCAGTTCAGTCAGTGGTTTTGTCCCAAAAACCAGCATGATGGGTTGGGGGGGAACTGTGGGAAGTTAAAACCTTTTACTGATATTTCCAAAAGCTGAACATTTGCATTTTTCTATTTTGTCTTTTTCTTTCCACTGGGAGGGAAGGATTTCTTCATTGTGTTCCCACTGGGAATATTTAAAGGGTATAGTTAAAAATAAATAAATAAATTAAAAATACCAATCTACCATATTTTCCTGTTTGACCAATGAGCTTAAAGCCAGCTCTTACCCAGCTCCTGTTTCTTTCTGTGCTGTGGTTGCAGTTTGGGTTGCTGCAAGGCATTTAAGCTGAGGCCCACCTACAGCTATGGCACACGTTTTTAATTTCCCTGGGTTGATTGTAACATACCACCTATTTTCTCTGATTTTATTCAGGCAGGCAAATTTGACATCATCCCGACCATGACCACAATTGGCTCTGGAATTGGTATTTTTGGAGTGGTAAGTTCAGATATTTCCAGTCTCTATATGGAGATTCTCAAATTATTCTTCTTGCCTGTGACATCTGTGGGGAAGTGTCCCTGAGCTGCAGTGAAATACTAGTTCCTGCTCAGGCACCAGGGGATGGGCAGAAGGGGGAAAGGAGGTCCTCTCCTGCCTC